CATGGTGATGGTGATGATCATGAGGAGGAGGATGTGGAGGAGGGCGAGGATGAGGATTATGATAATGATGGTGGTGGTGACGATGATGATGTTGAAGATGCGGTAAACATGAAGGATGAGGAGAAGGAGGAGGATGGAAGAGGAGGAGGGATGAGGAGGAGGAGGGAGGAGGGAACAGCACCATTGTAAACCCAAGACGCATCAACGATGTTGCCCTAAACCGTTCTTCCAAGTTCCATCTTCATAGGCGCCTACATGAATTCAATTCCACTACTGGAAGTGCCCCGTTGACAGACAGAGGTCTGAGAGTCATCAATCATACCAAAACACCACTCCTTGGGCGGTGCCAGAACACCTTTCCTGGGACGCCTGTCATACGAATCCGTTATCTTGCTGTACGTGTTTGAAACTCATGCGCGCGTTGCTAAAGGTAGAGCCACATTTTGAAACATCACAGTCCTCCTATCCGTGAAGCTCATGCAAACTCCGACTTCAAAGACGAATATGCGCGGCGCTAAGGCGAGAGCCACATTTGAAAAAAGAGCCGTTCTCCGTCCGTGAAGTTCTTACAATGTTTGAATCGAAGGTGCGCGGAGCTAAGGCGAGAGCCACCTTTTGAAAATCACCCGCCCTTCATCCGTGAAGCTCTTGCAAAGTTGTAAGACGAATGTGCGCGGCGCTGAGTCGAGAACCACATTTTGCAAACCACCCGCCCTTCATCCGTGAAGCTCTTGCGAACTTGTAAGATGAATTCGCGGGGCGCTGAGGCGAGAGCCACATTTTCAATTTACACTTGTGGAGGACGATCAATGGAGAGGAAGCATGTTGCCAAAGTAAATCATTTGCAGATGTCTAAAAGATGTTTCAACTATGTTTTATTATAGATAAATACATGTTTGAGGCATCATTAGAGCATGTTTACACATGTTAAACATATATGTATATATAATTCAATGATAGGACTGTTCGAGTGTCCAGTGTCATGGCATCCACAAACTCAAACCAACCCGCCCCTCGTCCTTGAAGCTCTTGCAAGCTTCTGCGCTTCAGGTTCACCGTTCGTGAGGAAGTCAGGTTGAACGCCCCCGCCCGCCCTGCCGGCACGCCGTGGGGTGCGACAGGGAGGAGTTAACCGCATGCCGATGATAATAAAGGGACCCCCCCCCCCTTCAGTGTTTAGAGTTGATTATCGTCGCCCTATACAAAATTCAAATTGGGCGGCGAGCGCTGAGGCCGAACTTCATTATCACCTCGAAACGCTATGTTGAGATAGCAACATCAAGCGATGTTGATATAGCAACATCAAGCGAAGCGATCACACTTTTTCAGGATGTGTCAAGCGAAACCAATAATTTTGGGAGGCAGACTCAAACGAAACGAGCAATGTTCTTATTATTCTTCTACTTTCCTCTTCTTCTTTTATATTTCTATCTGTCCTCACGCTCGCCTGAACTTTTTTATCCCTGGGGTTGATTATCCATGGAAAATGAAGCACATGAGCTACCCTACACGAGCACTTAAAAAAATCAATTTTCATAAAGCGTTTGTAAATTAAAATTGATAGATTTGGAACTTTGGATTTTTCCTTTCTTCGTCCTCTTCTTATTATCCTCTTCTTCTTCTTTCTTAGTATTCTTCTACTGTATTCTTCTTCTTTTATATTTCTCTCTGTCCCCACGCTCGCCTGAACTTTTTTATCTCTGGGGTTGATTATCCATGGAAATTGAGGCACATGAGCTACCCTACACGAGCACTTACAAAAAAACAATTTTCATGAGAGATAAGCCATTGTTGAGGATATTTCTATGAAAACTAAACGCCAAGGATGTCTCAAAACGTGCTCGGCTTGGTCTCCTCTTGATCATCTCTTACTTCGAGATTATGCTGAGGTCTGCTGGGCTACTTTTATTATCTCTCCCTGAACCCCGAACTTTATTATCCCCTAGTGTTTATTCTCACGGGCATGAGGTTAGTCATACGGAGCATGGATGGAGGAGCAGGAGGAGGAGGAGGAGGAGGAGGACGAGGAGGAGGAGCAGGACGACGAGGAGGAGGAGGAGGAGCAGGACGACGAGGAGGAGACGGCGTGGGGAGGGGGACAGGAGGGAGGGAGGAGGACGGAGGAAGAGGAGGAGAAGAAAAAGGGAGAGATGAGCAGGAGGAGGAGGAGGATGAGAAGGGGGTCCAGTGTAGCCTTGATGCCCCATGGGTCGGCATATAATACGTAAGCGGTTCAAGCTCTCAACTTACGATAAAGGACGACGAGGACGACAAGGAAGTCGAGGACGACAACGACGACAAAGAGCCCTCCTCGGAGGCCGCCGCGGCGGAATTCGCCCAGACCTCGAGCCTCAGCGAGGGCGCGTGAGGTATCCGGCCGAGGGCGGCAGCGGCAGGGGGGGGCCGTCGTTGTCGACGGTGGCGTCGTTCGACGTCGTTCTCGGCATTGTCAACGTCATTATCATCGTGCTCGTCATCGTACTTGTCGTCGTCGACGTCGACGTCGTCGTCCTCGTCGTCGTCTTTGCCGTCGTCGGAGTCGGACGAGGAGGATGAGAAGGAGGAGGAGGAGGAGGAGGAGGAACAGGAAGAGGCTGAGCAGGAGGAGGGAGAGAGGGATTGGGAGGGAGAATTAGGCAGGAGGAGAAGGTAGAGGAGGAGGAGGAGGAGGAGGAGGAGGAGGAGGAGACGAGCAGGAGGAGGAGGAGGACGAGGGGGACAGGAAAGGAGGAGTTGGAGGAGGAGGAGGAGGAGGAGGAGGAGGAGGAGGGGGTGGAGGAGGAGGAGGAGGATGAGGATGTGGAGGAGGAGGATGGAGGTGGAGGAGGCTTTTGGGGCACGGGGCCAGGAGAGGTCTGGAAAATGGTTTTCAACAGATTGTGGTCGAGGTGTGGAGGATGAGGATGAGGAGGAGATGAGGAGGAGGAATAGGGAGTGGGAGGGGCATGCTGGTGAAGGATGTGGAGGAACAGTGATGATGCTGATGATGCTGATGATGATGATGATGATGATGATGATGCTGATGCTGATGCTGATGCTGATGCTGATGCTGATGCTGATGCTGATGCTGATGATGATGATGATGATTATTATGGTGATGGTGATGGTGATGGTGATGAGGAGAATGATGATGATGATGCCAGTGATGATGGTGCTGATGATGATGACGATGACGATGATGATACGGCTGATGATGCTGACGATGAGGATGCGGATGAGGATGAGGATGATGTTGCTGCTGGTGATGATGGTGATGATGATGATGCTGGTTATGCTGATGCTGATGATGATGGTGATGATGATGATGATGCTGGTCGTGATGATGATGATGGTGGTGGTGATGATGATGAGGCTGATGACGATGATGCTGATGATGACGATGATGAGTGTGATGATGGTGATGATGATTCGGATTACAGTGATGGTTATGCTTATGACGATGCTGATGATGCTGATGGTGATGATGATGATGATGATGAGGACGATGATGCTGGTGATGATGGTGATGATGATGATGATGGCGTTGGCGGTGATGATGAGGCTGATGATGATAGTAGTGAGGATGATGCTGCTGATGATGACTGTTTTCGTGGTGTTGGTGATGATGATGGTGATGATGATGATGATTATGATGATGCTGCTTCTGATGATGATAATGATGATGATGCCAGTGATGATGATGAGGCTAATGCAGGCGGTGATGCTCACCACGATGATGGTGATGATTATGAAGATGATGATGACGATGGTTATGATGATGGAGCTGATCATGACCATAATGATAAGGATGCTGCTGGTGATGATGATGATGGCGTCGAGGCTAATGCTGATGTTGATGCTGATGCTGGTGATGTGTATGCTGATGTTGATGGTGGTTGTGGTGTTGGTGATGATGACGGTGGTTGTGATGATGATGCTGTTGATGATTATGATTATGATGATGATGTTGCTGATGATGATGATGATGATGATGATGATGATGATGATGATGGTAATGATGCGGATGACTGTTGTGATAGTAGTGTGAGGGATGATCATTATGATGCTGATGATGATGATGATGGTGATGGTGATGAGCATGATGATGATGTTGACGATGAAGATGATAATGATGATGATGATGATGATGATGATGATGATGATGATGATGCTGATGATGATGATGCTGATGATGATGCTGATGATGATGCTGATGATGATGATGATGCTGATGCTGATGATGATGATGATGATGATGATGATGATGATGATGATGATGATGATGATGCTTCTGCTGCTGATGATTATGATGCTGATGCTAATGCCGCTGATGATGAGGAGGAGGTGGAGGAGGAGGAGGCTTAGGCGGAGGAGGAAGCGGAGGATGGGGGAGGAGGACGAGATCGTGGAGGATGGGGGAGGAAGGGAGGGAAGGAGGGCGAGAGGAGGAGGAGGAGCAGGCTTGGCCTGGCTTGGCTTAGGTTGGTCCTGAAGGCAGTTGAGGAGGAGGAGGAGAAGGAGGAGAAGGAGGAGGAGGAGCAGTAGGAGGAGGAGTAGGAGAGGGAGTCTGAGGATCAAGACGCGGAGGGTGGTGATACAGATGCAGAGCTTTCGGCGGTCCGAGCATTTCATTGTTGGGTTGGGTGTCATTTCGTGGCAAGGGTGGGTCAGTCCAACACACGCGTAACCCCGACCGAGAGACCACCAGACACCCGCGCCAAGCGCCCAGACTTGGGGCACGGGAGGGGTAGGGGCCAGTCCCAGGCCAAGAAAAGGAAGATGGCCAAGCTTACGAAACACAGTCGCGCAAAACAGCGCACCATTCGAGTGCAAGCCCCTCCCAATGTAACTCAATCACCCTACCTCCTCCTATCATCACCCCCGCCCGACCTGTCAGAACTACCGTGGACGGGCACGAGCAACGAGTGGGACAGGGTGTCCAGTGAGGAAGGCAACACTAACGATCGGGAGCTTGGGAGGAGTGGAGGCGCGCCGTCAGCGATCCGAACAAGGGGTGGCTCCTCGGCCGCGGGTCTTCACGATCGCTTTGGCTTGCAAAATGGCAACAGCCTCCGTCTCCATCGGCCGATCCTCGCGCTCTGCCTGGAGCTCTGCAGTCGTAGCTGCCATCTCCGAAGTGCTCTGGTCGCAGTTCGCGCAGAAGCTCTCCGCCTGCCTAGCCTACGTGCGTTGGCACTCTGCATCGCGGCGCAGTCTGCCTCGAGTCGGCGTCACCCCAACCCAATCGTACTACGAGTGCGTCGCCCCTGCAGGGGCGACGCGCGCACCGAGAAATGTTGTAGTATACGCTCCGTGGCGGGCGCTTTCTGGCCATACCGCTCGGGAAACGATACACTACAAGATGGTTGTACTAGATGTTCGGGTCGGACGCATGCCTCCAAGGATGACAGATCGTGCTCATATCTGTGCGTCCCATCGAGGATCCCCAGCTTCTCGACGGACTCGTCCCCCTCTGCCATCCTGCGCTCGATGTCCGCCAACTTCACCGCGGCTCGCGCCTTCTCCTCGGCCGTGTTCCGTGCTCTGGTGCGTCGCTTCGATGGCGTGGTTGCCCTTGGAAGCGCCCATCCGGGCGCCCGACATTTCGGCAAGCAGCGCCACGTCGGGGTGGGCATCCGTGTTGTGGCAGCGGCTCAGCTTGCCCACACGCGAGGCCAGACCAGCCTCGCCCCTCGGCACTCATCGGGGAACAAGCAATGACGTAAACATAAAAACTCTGAGGTCCTCGCGGATTTCTCACATCGGCGCCAGACCCCCCCTTCCTGGCGCGCAGAAGCCGCCATGGGGGCCCCGCGCCGATCCGAGAAGTCCGCGCGGACCTCCGAGCTTCCATGCCCCCCGACTCAGCCGCAGCCAGTTTGGTGACTCGGGGGAGGTCCACTTCCTCGAGGGGGGCGGGGGACATTGGAGGCCTCCTGGCCCGCCCCAAAGAAACCCTGAGGCTGCGACGCCGTGGCTTCTCGCGGCGCGGGCCCCCAGAGGTCGGGGCCCCTGCCCTAACCAGAGCTGATCCGCCAGCAGCCCCTCGAGCACCGCCGGGGCGCCACCCCACGCGGCTGGCTGCGCCGCCACGGGCATCTCCAGCTGCGCCGGGCGCGCCGCGGTGCCGCGGCCCGACGCGTGCAGCCCCCTGGCCTGAGCGAGAGTGGGCTCGCGGGAAGGGGGAGGGGGAGGATACAGTCATGGTCGAGCGTCACGTCGACGCACTGTTTCTCGCCTCGCTGTCATCCCGCCTGAATTTCAAGGGCCTTCCAGAGGACAGACGAGGCGCTTGCCCTTGCGCTCCCGCGGCCAACGCGGGCTCCTGACGCCACGGGTGGCGCGCCCAGCGGCTTGCTCAGAAAAGGATACAGTCAACCCGCATGCTGCAGATGGGCAGCCCTCCCAAGGGTGCCCTTGCATCCTTCCCTCCTCGGTCCATCCTGGGCCGCTTTCGTTGGCCGCGCCCCGCTCGACAAACTTCGACATGGCCTTCCAAGCATCGTGCGCCCTCATGATCCGGGTCGACTGTGGTGGCTGGCCCCTGCAAGTGAAAAAGGAAGTCCGTGCTGACTGCCAGGGGGGGAGGGAGGAGGGGGAGGAGTGGGACGGTAAGGGGACAAAAAAGTGGAACCCCTTCGTCTTCGGCCCGGATTCGCCCCCCCCCCCCCCCCCCCCCTCCCCCCAATTGCAAAGTTGGGTTCGGCCTCTCGGAGGCCCTGGGGGGTCTATTTTTTTGTCTTCTCACGCCTGTGCTGCCACATGCTTGAGGCCAACTTTGACATTGGGGGGAGGGGGGGGGGCGTGGTGTCAAGGGTTTCGTTTTTTGTCCATCTACGGGAGGAGGGGGAGGCTGGGGAGGAGGGGGACGAGGGCGAGGACGGGGAGCTCACATGCCGTCGGGGCGAGGAGGAGGCGCGCGCTCTGATGGACTGGCCGCCCCGTGCCACGGGGCAGCGCGGGCGGGCAGCGGCCCCCGCCGCCCGCCGCGTGCTGCCGGCAGGAGAGGCGGGGGAGAGGCGAGGGCCGGGGTCGGTGGCTCAGAGACGGGGCCCTGAGGGGTGGGGCCCTGAGGACGCCCAGCCCATCAGAGGGGGCGCTTCTTGAGGTCGTCCATGAGGCTCCTCCTCTTCCTCCTCCTCCTCCTCCTCTTCCTCCTCCTCTTCCTCCTCCTCCTCCTCCTCCTCCTCCTAACCTCCCTATCCCCTTCATGCAACCATTCCATGTTTGTTTCATGTTGTTTCTGATGAATAATTCCTCCCCGTCGCACCCTGGGGCCGGTCAACAGAGCGGGCCGGGCGTTTCGCCTGAGATTTCCTCAGCGTTGATGACCCTGAAGCTTCACACCTGGCAACAGTTTCACACATGGAAGGCGGGCCGTTTTCATAATGTGGCTCTTGCCTGAGCGCCGCCCACAGTCATTTTAACGAAATTCAGCAGCTTCACGGATTGAGGGGGGGTGTTTTCAAAATGTGGTTCTCAGCTTAGCGCCGCGCAAGAGTTTCACAGACTGAGGGCGGGTGGCTTTCAAAATGTGGCTCTCGCCTTAGCGCCGCGCGCATTCGTAGCTCTCGCCTTAGCGCCGCGCGCGCTCGTTTCCAAAATCTGCGGGAGTTTCGCCGACTCCCTTATGGTCAACATACCAGATCTAGTTTTTTGGACGGTTTCAGGATTGTGAGGGTGCAACAGTTACGCTGGTTCGCGGCCCTGGGGTCCCAGGAATGGTGTTCTGGCACGATTCAGCACCGTCAAGACTCAACAGTCAGGTTGATTCGTGTCGTCATAGTCCCGAGATTGGTGTTTTGGCATCCTCATGGTCTTCAAACGGCTGCCCCCCAACGAGGCAATTCCTCAATTGAAATGAACCATTGCAGGGACCTGTGAAGAGGGAACTTGGAGGGAGGGTTTCTTCCAACATCGCTGATGAGTCTTAAGTTTGCACTAGTCCTCCTCATCTTCCTCCTGCAAAGATTGGGTCCTGAGGGATGGGGTTCGAAGGACGAGGTGCCCCAAACAACGCAAATCCACCCTTGAAACTTGGGTTCCTTCCTATCCCTAGGGCCCAATCGTGATCGTTTTCTTATTCATTGTTTTGCCGATCGGCGCGGGCCCTCGACCCCTCCCCCCCCCCATGGAGTAGATCTTAGCTGGTTTTCGTATGTTTCAAGCAGGTGGAGCCTGCCCCATAGGACGCACTGTTGAAGACAGTCGCATCAGGCAGAGGTCCGGAGCCAGACCCCCCCCTCCCCCCCCTTCGCTCAATATCGAAACGCCGAATAAGAAAACGCCCACATCCATCATCACCTTATCTTTGCACCACCGATGGGGGGGAGGCGACGACCCGCGGCCCGGAGCGCAACTAAGGGGCAGCCTTAACCCTGCCCACCGAGAGGCCCACGTTGCACCCTCTCTTTTCCCCCTCCCCCCGCCATCTCCTCCTCCTCCTCCTCCTCACCCCCTTCTCTTCCTCCTCCTCCTCCTCCTCCCCTTCCTCCTCCTCCTCACCCCCTTCTCTTCCTCCTCCTCCTCCCCTTCCTCCTCTTCCTCCTCCACCTCCTCCTCCCTTACCCCTCCCTCCGCCTTCCTCTGGGGGGACTTTGTCGGCCTTCCTGTGCTTCGAGGGGGTCCCTCCCCTCCCTCCTCCCGCCTTACGTCGTGCTTGCTGCTCCTTCCGCCTCCTCCTCCCCTCCTACCTCATTGTCCTGTTGCTCTCCCTCGTGTCGTCCCCCTCCTGGTCGATCTTCCTCCTCCTCTGCCCCCCCTTCCTTAGAGCTTCTTGTGTTTCTGCCCCCCCAGCGGCGATGTCCCAGCGGCGATGTCAGTCCGTGAGGTGGGTGGGCAGCGTCCATCTGGATTCCGATGCCAACGGCGACTGCGACACGGGAAGACGAGGAGCATGAAGAGGAGGAGGAGGAGGAGGAAGGCCGGAGGATGATGGTGGAGGAAAAAGGGAGGGAGGAGGATGATGGGGGAGGGGAGGAGGGAAGGGGAGGATGAAGGAGGGAGGAGGGGAGGAGGGAGGATGGTGATAATGGGGGAGGAGGGAGGAGGAGGGAGGTGGAGGGAGGTGGAGGAAGGAGGGAAGGAGGATGATGGTGGGGCAGGAGCAGGAGGAGCAGGTGGAGGAGGAGGAGGAGGAGGAGGAGGAGGAGAGAGGAGAGACGATGGTGCAGGACGAGGTGGTGGAGGAGGAGCAGGAGGACTGCCGGCCTGGGCGCGGCGCCGCGCCGCGGAGCCGCGCCGCCCCACTGCGCGCGCTCGAAGCCGCGCAAGGGCGCCGCGGCGGCGCCGCAGCCGCCGGAGGGCCAGGACGCACTCTCGGAGCCGCGCCGCGGAGTGGCCGCGGAGTGACTTCCCGCGAACGTCCCTCCTCCTCCCACCACCACCCTCCTCCCTCCGTCACCACCCTCCTCCACCCTCCGTCCCCCTCCTCCACCCTCCGTCCTTCACCTCCTCCTCCTTTTGCTCTTCCTCCTCGTCCTCCTCCTTCTCCTCCTCCTCCTCCTCCTCCTCCTCCGCCCCGAGACCCTCGGAGAGGAGCGACTCTCCGGTGCGCGGAGGAGGGCGACTGCCTGCGAACGTCCCTCCTCCTCCTCCTCCTCCTCCTCCTCCTCCTCCTCCTCCTCCTCCTCCTCCTCCTCTGAGTACAGTCGACCCGCATAGTGAGGACGGGCCACCTTCCCAAGGACCCTTGCGTCCTTCCCTTCTCGGCCCGTCCTTGGCCACTTGCGTTAGTGGCCCCCCGCTCGAAAAGCTTCGAAATGGGCGCCCAAAGGCCTTGCATCCTTATCGTGCGTCCTTATGATACCGGTCGACTGTAGGGCCGAGGGTCAGAGAGCGCCTTCCTCTGCAGGACCACCAAAAGAGGGTCGTCAGGGTGGTCAAACGCCTCGCCGGTGCAGGCGACGAAGGTGTGCAAAATTCAAACAGTCTCTCATGTCCCAAGTTTCGGCTTGATGCCAGGTCCAGTGCACCAATTTCAGCTCGACCGAACAGGTTGGTTGCGCCCCTTGACGTCTGTTTGGGGTGTTCTGCAGACCTGACCCCCCAGCCCCTGCTCCTCCTGCTCCTGCTCGTGGTCTGCTCCTTCTGCTCGTGGCCAGTCGGCGCAAGGTCTTCGGGCCCCTTCCAGTCGTCTCCCACGGGCCCTCCCGCGGACTTCCACGGCCTTCCCCAGAGTCCCGAGGTCTTCCCGTCGGACTTTCCCCGGAGCTGCCCGGAGTGCTTGGCGCAGCGAAGACCTTTCGCCAACCCGACCAACCTGTCCACGCTCCATCCTATAGGAGGAATATTCGAGAATGAAAATAGTCATGAGACGAATATTCATGTTCTTTGGCATATTTTTGAATATGTTGGACCGTTTTTCATTTGTCTCCCAAAATCAGCCTGTAGGAGGACATGTCCGACCCAAGCACAGGGGTCTTGAGGGGCCGGGGGCCCCGAGGTTTTGCTGGCTTTCGCCCTCCAGGGGGCCCTTCCCAGGGCCCGGGGCCGTCTGAAACCGTTTGGGGATGAAGAGCCGGCCCCAGGATATGTCCCAGGGTCCAGGGCCCCTTTCCCTCGGCTTCTATGCCCACTGACATCGTGTATCCTCCTGCTTCATCATCATCCCCCTCATTCTCTCCTGGGTCCTCCCTCTTTCAGGGGCGCCCTGGAACATCCGAAAATATTTCCGAGCCCCCCGCAAAGGCACATATACAATTTGCCCGGCGAAACGCAGTTGCAGCGGTGGAGCCCCCTATGGGACCACGAAACGTGCGAGAGGTGTGCCGTCATGGGTGGCGGCGACGCATGTGGGCACCGCCATTGGGGCCATCGGTGGAGCTCCCTATGGGGCCACGAAGCGTGTGAGGGGTGTGCCGAAATGGGCGGCGGGGACGCATGTGGGCACCGCCACTGGGGCCTACGGGGTCACGAAATGTGTGAAAGGTATGCCGGAATGGGTGGCGGGGGCGCATGTGGGTTCAAAACCGAGTGTCCAAAGAACATACCTATACGACCACCCTTCGGGTTATAAGGAGGTTGTGGGGGGGGGAAGAGGGGGGGAACCAACATTTGACTCAATCGATCTCACTCTCGAACTCATTCAACGGGACACCACGGAACACTTGCCGATCTCACTATTGATCTCATTATCGATCTTTTTCAACGGGACACCACGGGACACCGCGGGACACCTCTCGATCTCACTCTCGGTCTCACTATCGATCTCACTATCGATCTCACTCAACGGGACACCACGGGACACCTCTGGACACCACATCGATCTCACTCTCGGTCTCACCATCGATCTCATTCAACGGGGCACCTCGGGGCACCACATCGATCTCAGTATCGATATCACTATCGATATCCCTTTTGGGACACCACGGGACACTCCGGGGCACCACATCGATGTCAATATCGATCTCACCATCGATCTCGCTCAACGGGACACCACTGGACACAACGGGACACCACGGGACACCTGTCGATCTCACGATCAATCTCACTATCCATTTCACTTTTTTGGGACACCACTGGACACTTCGGGGCACCACATCGATCTCACTATCGATCTCAGTATCGATCTCCGTATCGATCTCATTCAACGGGACACCACGGGACACCACGGGACACCGCGGGACACCGCGAGCCATCGCCAAACGGGTGGGCGGGGGAGAATCATTCGTTTTGACGGCGCCCTGGCAATTGCGGACACCACGGGACACCACGGGACACCACGGGACACCGCGGGACATCGCGAGCCACCGCCAGACAGGCGGGCGGGGGATAATTATTTGTCTTGACTTCGCCCTAGCAGCGGCGGACACCACGGGGCACCACGGGACACCGACGGACGCCGCGGGCCACCGCCGGACGGGCGGGAGGGGGATAATCATTTGTCTTGACTTCGCCCTAGCAGCGGCGGGGTCATTCCTCTCGCGCGCCCGCGCAGCTTCGCTTCGCCCGCACACGCGACACGAACGAAACGAAACGATTTCCTGGTTGGGGGCCTCCTCTCAACTACGAGCTCACCCCCCAACGTCCGATAGAAAGAACACAGGGTTTTTGTTTCAACATGTTCATGGAATTCTGCCAAGCGGGCCTCTCACGCCGCATGCCGAAATCATTCGAACGACCTTGCGCGCCTGCTGGGGGGACACGATCAGTGTCAAATGATACCATGCGGCTGCTCTCGCGCGTCGGCCGCGCGCGCATGCCGAACTCCCTCCAAAACTTTTATCACCGACGCGAGGGCGCCGTCATCGTCGTCGGCGTGACCAGCATCGGCGCCGTCGTGGTTGTTAACGTCGTCACCATCGCTAACCATCATCGCGCCTACCGTCGCCGACGTTGCCATGATACCGCGCCCGGCCAAGTCTCCGACTCACACTGATCTGCCCGCTGGGAAGCGCCAAGCGGTCAGCGCCACCACGGCGGCGGTCAAGCGCGGCACAGGGTCGTTAATTTCTTTTCTGAAAAGAGAATAAACTACTTCCCCCCCCCTCGGGATTATCCGTTCCCTTTTGCGCGTTGCAATTTGCATATGATTCTGTCCGATCGTCCATGCTAGATATGAACTTACACCTTCCCGGGGGGGCCGGCATCCGCCCCCCCCCCGCCATCCACGTCAAAAGATGATGCGCGTGCATTCGATTATCAAAGATAATTATTGTTCAAGCATCCCTTGCGAAATATGCGACGAAGTGCACGCGCGCGCGTGGTCGCGCGCGCATGCCGAAGTCCATTAAAACCGTTTGTTTCGCAAGGAATTCAAAATCGAGCTCCCAAAAAACAGCATCATAAACACATGGTATCACAACACTGATTGTCAACAAACATTGCGCGCGATCTTGCGCATTCTCGAGAGTGCCATAGAATGTTCATCACTTAATGAACATGCTACCAAACAAGCTCCGCGCGCGCACGTCGAAATCGCTCGCACGCCCCTGCGCGCGCGCCGTCGCGAGAATCCTTTACAAACAACGCGACGAAGTGCACCCGCGCGCGTCGTCGCGCGCGCCGAAATCCGTCAAACATCTGTTTGATTTCGTAGCGATTTCAAAACCGCGCGCGCAAAACAGACGCAAAACACACAGGGCTTCGCGACGCCAGTTTTCAACAAAAAACGCTCGTATTCGTTCGGGTTCTTCGGGGAACCATCGGTTTCTTTGTCCATTATGTTCAGGGAAGTCTGCCAAGCGGGAGCCTCTGGCGCCGCGGGCCGAGATCATTCGCGCGCCCTTGCGCGCGTGCCGAGGGGGGGGGGGGGGGGCGCGATCCTCGTCTAATACTGCCACGCGGGCCACGCTCGCGCGTCGGCCCCGCGCGCGCGCGTCGAATTCTTTCCAGAGCCATCGTCGCCGACGCGAGGACGCCGTCATCGTCGTCGGCGCGATCAGCATCGGCGCCCGCGCTGGCTGCGCCGTCGTCGTTGTCGACGTCATCTCCAGCATCGCTATAATTATCATCGCGCCTACCGTCGTCGACGTCGCCATGATGCCGCGCCCGCCCAAGTCGCCGACTCGCGCTGAAGTGCCCGCTGGGGCGCGCCCAGCGTCGCCGCGGCCGCGTCGGTCGCGCCAAACTAGCTGGCCGCTGCGCGCGCGTTCTTAGGTCGGCGCGGCCGCTGAGATGGACCCGCCGACGCCAGGCGCCCATCTCAATCGCCACCGCGCGCGTTTTGCAAACCAAATTGCGGGTGGGCGGGCGGGATCACTGCGCGAGCAGTGGAGAAAGTAAAACTCTTTTCGAAAAGAGAATGTGCACATTAGTTTGTCGTTTGTTTAGGGCTGCCCCTGTCGAGGACCCCGCAAGCCCCTCGCATGCGCCGCGCGCCGCGCTGTCTGCGCACGTGGAGGACTCCTCGCCCTGGGTGCCGCCGCCGCGGAACGTCCGGGGAGGCATCCAATTCTTGGCGGGGGTTTTCGACCCTCCTTTTCCCGGGCCCTCGTGGACCCTGGTATCCTGGTTTTGGTCTGGTGCCGGGATTGCGGCTGATCCCCAAAACGACCTTGGAGATCTTGACCCCCCCCGCATAATAGTTGTTCAGACGATAAGGGGGGATATCCGCCGGACTGGGATGGTACGCGTCCATATCTAGGATGGACGATGGGGCAGGATCGCATGTCATCTGAACATCCCCAGGGGGCCCGATTAGTTCGGGGGGAGGTACATCTGAATACGTTCTTTAAAAGCAGAATCGATGTGACGCAAGATTGCGAGTCGATGTGGTGCAGAGCAGTACGACGTAATGCAGAATAGTGCGGTTGTAATGCGAGCGCAATGAAAACGCAACGTGTTTGTAAACGCTTGCAACGCAAAGCAGCGCAACGCAGTGCGATTTCAGCGCGCAGCAATCCAGCGGCGACAGGATGCAAACACTGCCGCTGAGGCCTTCGGTGGAGCTCCCTATGGGGCCACGATCCTCGTGAAGAGTGTGCAGAAATCAGCGGGGGGCGCATGCAAACCCTGCCGCTCGGGCCTTCGGTGGAGCTCCCATATGGGGCCACGATCCTTGGGAGGGGTGTGCCGACATGGGCGGGGAACGCATGCAAACCCTGCCTCTGGGGCCTTCGGTGGAGCTGAGCTCCCCATGGGGCCGCGATCCTCGTGAGGGGTGCGCCGAAATGGGCGGGGGGGCGCATGCAAACCCTGCCGCTGGGGCCTTCGGTGGAGCTCCCTGTGGGGCCGAGATCCTCGTGAGGGGTGTGCCGAAATTGTCGGGTGGACGCAAACCCTGCCGCTGGGGCCTTCGGTGGAACTCCCCATGGGGCCGCGATCCTCGTGCGGGGGGTGCCGAAATGGGCGGGGGGGCGCATGCAAACCCTGCCGCTGAGGCCTTCGGTGGAGCTCCCTGCGGGACCACGGTCCTCGTGAGGGCTGTGCTGAAATCGGCTGGGGGGCGCATGCAAACCTTGCCGCTGAGGCCTTCGGTGGAGCTCACTATGGGGCCACGATCCTTGGGAGGGGTGTGCCGACATGGAACCTTGCCGCTGAGGCCTTCGGTGGAGCTCCCCATGGGGCCGCGATCCGTGTGCCGAAATGGCATGCCGCTGGGGCCTTCGGTGGAGCTCCCCATGGGGCCGCGATCCCCTTGAGCGGTGTGCCATGGGCGGAGGAATGCATGCAAACCCTGCCGCAGAGGCTTTCGGTGGAGCCCCGTATGGGGCCGCGATCCTCGTGAGGGGTGTGCCAAAATGGGCGGGGGAACGCATGCAAACCCTGCCGCTGAGGCCTTCGGTGGCGCTCCCATATTGGGCCACGATCCTCGTGAGGGGCGTACCAAAATGGGCGGGGGACGCATGCAAACCCTGCCGCTGGGGCCTTCGGTGGAGCTCCCTATGGGGCCACGATCCTCGTGAGCGGGGTGCCAAAATGGGCGGGGGGACGCATGCAAACCTTGCCGCTGAGGCCTTCGGTGGTGCTCCCTATGGGGCCACGATCCTCGTGAGGGGTGTGCCAAAATGGGCGTGGGAACGCATGCAAACCCTGCCGCTGAGGCCTTTGGTGGCGCTCCCCATGGGACCACGATCCTCGTGAGGGTGTGGCGAAATCGGCTGGGGAATGCATGCAAACCCTGCCGCAGGGCCTTCGGTGG